GGCCGCTTTGAATGAAGTTTCGCTGAGCTAGCTGTTCGTCAGCTTCTGCCCTTGTGCTTTTTCCATATGTTTTTTCGTTGCTTCTTTACTGTCATCATCGCTTGTTTGTTTGTTTGTTTTTCCTTGCCTACACGTGTGTAGAGGGTGATATCATTGCGCCAGAATCTATTCGCCAATAAACATTGCATTTAACAAGGTTTACCATGCCCATCAAGGTTGGTATTAATGGCTTCGGCCGCATTGGCCGCATGGTCTTTCAGGCCATGTGCGAGGCAGACCTTCTCGGAACGGAGATTGAGGTCGTTGCGGTGGTTGATATGAGCACAGATGCAGAGTACTTTGCATACCAGATGCGCTACGACTCTGTGCACGGCAGGCTCAAGCACAAGGTGACGACGGCGAAGAGCAGTCCCTCTGTGGCTAAGGATGACGTGCTGGTGGTGAATGGGCACCGTATTCTGTGCGTGAGGGCGCAGCGCAACCCGGCGGACCTCCCGTGGGGCAAGCTCGGTGTTGAGTACGTAATTGAGTCAACGGGTCTGTTTACTTCCAAGGCGGCGGCGGAGGGCCACCTGCGGGGAGGCGCACGAAAGGTCATCATCAGTGCCCCCGCTTCCGGTGGCGCCAAGACGCTTGTGATGGGTGTGAACCAGGACGAGTACAACCCCCGTGAGCACCACGTGGTGTCGAACGCATCGTGTACAACCAACTGCCTTGCGCCTATTGTGCATGTTCTGGTGAAGGAGGGCTTTGGCGTGGAGGCCGGGCTCATGACAACGATCCACTCGTACACAGCAACGCAGAAGACGGTGGATGGCGTGTCACACAAGGACTGGCGTGGCGGTCGCGCGGCCGCGATTAACGTTATTCCGAGCACGACTGGTGCGGCCAAGGCGGTGGGCATGGTGATTCCGAGCATGCAGGGCAAGCTGACGGGCATGGCCTTCCGTGTCCCGACCGCAGACGTTTCAGTGGTGGACCTCACCTTCACAGCGAAGCGCGACACCAGCATCAAGGAGATCGACGCCGCCCTGAAGCGCGCATCGAAGACGTACATGAAGGGCATCCTTGGCTACACAAACGAGGAGCTTGTGAGCACAGACTTTATCAACGACGACCGCAGTTCCATCTACGACTCCCTGGCGACGCTGCAGAATAATCTGCCTAACGAGCGTCGCTTCTTCAAGGTTGTGTCGTGGTATGACAACGAGTGGGGATACTCCCACCGCGTGGTGGATCTTGTTCGCCACATCGCATCGAAGGACCGCGCGGCAAGGTTGTAGGATGAACGGTGACTTTGGTTCCAGGCTCATTGCAAATAGAAAACTGTTAGTACACAGTGCGTGGCCGCGTAGGTTTCTTTACAAGCGCAGTTCCAGCATTGTCGATGGAGAACCAGGAACAAAATTAATTTTAAATATATATTTTGCTTTATTTTTTATTGTTAAGAACGAAGTTTCTTAACAATTATGTTATAGGACGATGTTTTTGTTTAAAAGAGCAGTGATGTTCTTGCATAACGAGGGGCGAAATGATGTTTGAGTGTCTCGTGGATGAAGGGAGATTGCAGTGAAAGGGAGGCCGCTTTGAATGAAGTTTCGCTGAGCTAGCTGTTCGTCAGCTTCTGCCCTTGTGCTTTTTCCATATGTTTTTTCGTTGCTTCTTTACTGTCATCATCGCTTGTTTGTTTGTTTGTTTTTCCTTGCCTACACGTGTGTAGAGGGTGATATCATTGCGCCAGAATCTATTCGCCAATAAACATTGCATTTAACAAGGTTTACCATGCCCATCAAGGTTGGTATTAATGGCTTCGGCCGCATTGGCCGCATGGTCTTTCAGGCCATGTGCGAGGCAGACCTTCTCGGAACGGAGATTGAGGTCGTTGCGGTGGTTGATATGAGCACAGATGCAGAGTACTTTGCATACCAGATGCGCTACGACTCTGTGCACGGCAGGCTCAAGCACAAGGTGACGACGGCGAAGAGCAGTCCCTCTGTGGCTAAGGATGACGTGCTGGTGGTGAATGGGCACC